CACACACACACACACACACACACACACACACACACACACACACACACACACACACGGGCACCCGCGCACGCACGCATGCACCCGCCAACGAACGCAGGCACACGCGCACGCACACAGGCACCCGCGCACGCACGCACGCAGGCACCCCCGCATGCACGGACGGGAATTCATAGCAAACGCTTGCACTCGCGCCCCGATATATGCATAACTAATGCGTATTAGCGGACAGGAATATATAACTAACGTACACACGTAGCGACCAAGCTAGCTATAACGCACGCACGCACGCACATGCGGGCATGTATGTGTAACGAAACACGCTATTATATCGTACTCATACAAACGGTCAGGGGTGGAACTGACACAGGAACAACGTGCGGTCACGGATCGGATATACAGTTATACAGAGAGAGATACAGTGATACATCGGATATACACGCTCGCTACATTTCACACACCAATACACGCGCACACACGTTAGCAGAAGCACAGACAATAACTTATAATGCTCGTGCGGATACATTCAGACCGACGGAAAGAACATTAATAACGAATCGACACAGCGCTGCAAGTAGCTATCGCAGTTTATTGTAGCGTGCGTTACCATGCCAACCACAAAATGTGACACCTTTACACGGCATTTATGGTGTCGTGTATGGGAGTGGTCGAAGTTGTTTCAAATCTAGCGATATTTTCGCACTATTGTTTTCCTACAAGCATGTGCTAACCAGAACAAAAGTTTATGCGACCGCGTCGCGGAAACAACACTTTGAGACAATCGTTTCTTATATTTCCAGTTGCAGACGGGTCCAACAATAACGACAACGATAGCAAAAACGATGGTAAGTATACGTCACCGTAGACATGGACACCGGCCACTTAACACCGACTTAACATTAGCTCTAACATCAGAATTTTGTTTAATAAAGTTTTCGAGTAAAGTTGGTAGGATTTTTCATTCTCGTAACTTTACGATGTTTCTCTGGGCGAAATAGTTTATGTTAAGACTAATGTTAAGACTATTTTGTTTTTAACAACGGCCGTCTATATCGGCAAATGTATCTATGCGCCACGTAAGCAGACAACAACTTAACAGTTAACATTTCATCTTGATCGATTTGCAGAAACCATCGTAGTAAGGCAACAATAAGGGTATTGGCTGTGTTGCCGCTTTTTGGCGCGTCGTACCAACAAAGATGTTACTTTCGACTCTTTTCGCGCCGAGATTGGCCTTATTTCATTCATTCACGTTATTTTAAGTTGTTTACCAGTGAACAGTGGTGCGTGGTCAAATTCACTTGGTTTTTAAAGATAAATAACTTCGTCTAAAACCCCGAACGCGTCATACGAAAATGGCGGACCCGAGCTCTGACGACAGCGCCCTTATTCTTTACTGAAAACCCTAACTACACTAACTAACTAATTTACTACTACTAATCTCAACAACTAATCTACTACTACACTTACTAACTAATCTACTACTATACTAATCTCAATAATTAATCTACTACTACTAATCTCAACAAATAATCCACTACCACACTAACAAACTAATTCACTACCACACTAACAAACTAATCCACTACCACACTAACAAACTAATCCACTACCACACTAACAAACTAATCCACTACCACACTAACAAACTAATCCACTACCACACTAACAAACTAATCCACTACCACACTAACAAACTAATTGACACGCTATAACTAATCGCACAGGTGGGGGTGGCATCAAAGGTACAACGCTGGCAATCTTACTGAGTCTGACAGGAATCGTCGTCGTCGCTCTGGCAGCTGTCATCGCCTTCAAGCTGTTCTACGTGTGAGTGTTAGGCAAACGTTGAGTCAAACACACACACACACACACACACACACACACACACACACACAACACACACACACACACACACACACACA